TGTCGATAAAATTTCTTTGGCCCTATCAAAATACTTGAAAATTTACTACAAATCCAAACCGAACCTAACCACTAATTCTATTCGCTGTCGTTTTATCGACTGATAATATTAAGTTTGTGATTTTACGTGTGTGTGGTAAGCTGGTAATAAAATAAATAAAAATTTTAGCAGTTGCGGTTATCGACATTCGAAAATAATCAGCTGGTCTGTGATTGGTATCCAGGCAGCGAAACTAGATGACTGACTTTTTTCTCGAACAGCCAAATAACAACACCGCTTCTATACGTCATCGTCGTCATACATGTTGTTATTATTATTATGATTAATATTATTTCGCGTGGTGCGATAACGTCGTTACACCGCAGCAATCCGTCTGTTTTGGACAGTCATGAACCGGAAACGTATTCACCGGTACCGTWTCCCTAGTCACTCTTTTCAAACGCTGTTCACCACCACCACCACGGCTATATTGGTCACCGCCGCTATCGTGTTGGCGATACTATCGCCGACGGTTTACAGCAGAGTATACCAGCCAACACACAAGTTGCAGTCGTCTTGCGCGACCATCGTTCCCCGACAAACAGTTGCCGTTTCGCGGCACTTCCGGTCAACGAAGACACACGTCACCACAGGCACAGACAGTGAATATAGCCGATCTATGACCACAATGCACCATCGAAAACGGCGCTACGTTGCCAGACTAATAGGTTATCCCCAACCGCAATTATATAGTTATTTACTTAAGGTTGTGTCAGAGGCTCCTAAACTGTACACAGTAGTATATATATATATATTTCACAGTAATCAAATAATTAATACTGTATTGTATTTTATAAAAAATATGTAATAAATGCTTAAAACCGGTGGCGCCCAGACAGGTTAGCAAGTAAGGCAACTGCATGTGTTCTTGAGTACCTATATCAGRAAAAAAGTCCTCRGTGGCCCGGTAAAAAAGTCTCACGGAAAGAGTCTCTAAATTAATATTAAATTTAAATTCAGTCTTTTATCACACATGTATTTATATAGGTACATAGGTCAAAGGTAATTCATTTTRCATAATTTATTAAAAATAATTAACAAACAACTACATTAAATAGGACAAATAGGTACCTAGCTTTCTAGGATTAAAAATTATGCTCATATATTCACGAAAGAACATAAAAACAAGATTATTATTCTCTACAACTCTACATAGTTATCTAGATATTTTCCTTCAGTTTTATTGATACTTACAAAAAATGAAAATATATATATATATATATGTAATAGAAGATTTAAATTTAGTCTTTTATCGTATATATAAGTATTTATAAATATAATTGCATGTTAAATTTATTAAATTATATAAAAATATATATAATATAAAATACGTTATAAAATATTATTAAAAAAATATTAAAATGTATTTATTTTGATACATGTCTTTCGTAAAATAATTAAAAATTGAATAAAATATGTTTTATAATTTTATAATTTAAAAAAATAGGGGAACTTTTTTTCCGTTTACCGTTCTCAAGGGGAAGTGGGTGTTCTTCAGGATTTACAAGGAAGTTTATAAATGTATAACATAAACTATAGTCTATAATATACAATAATTAATTTCCTTGAACTACAGTGAATAATAAGTGAAAATATTTTTCATAAATAAAACATTRGGTGGGTGGGTGACTAAAATATTTTAACTGCATGTGCTCTTAAAATACCTCTGTGCGCCACTGCTTAAAACCTCAATATAAAAAATATTATCTTAACCAATAGTTTAGGAATCTCTGTTTTATCGTAACTAGTTTTTTTTTTTTTTTTTAATCCTGCAGTGCAATGATTTATCTTATCGATCCAACTATGTAATATAATAGATACGAGATTGCAGTATGACACTATCGTCATAATTTCATACTCCTCTTCGTTGATGTAGTGATGATTTTTCACCATTTATTTTAATTTTAATACTTTAACGTTAAATTGTCTTATTCTTATATTATATTAAATTAATATTTAATAATTAACGATGTCATTAGGCACATCGATATATAGTAGTATATAAATGGTTGTAAATACTACATATTTCTATGTGTAATTTAAACCTATAAAACTAATACTAAAATTTCGATCGTCACAGGTGAAACCGTTACAATGGGTCAGTCAGCAAACAATACGTCAAACCATACCCGTTGCTACAAGGTTAAGTTCACCACGCCTATACCGACTACCAAACGTTGGTCACCGATACTGAAAACATACCCCAGTTTTCCGGTGACGAATATCACGGTGGCCAGTGTCATCACGACCAAAGTTACTAAGATAACCAAGGTAACCAAAGCTTCGACAACAACTGAAACTACTACCGAACCACCTGAAGAAACCCAAGATACCGAAGAAAAATCATCGAATGAAGAAACCAGCTCAAACGAAGAAGATGCTAGTACAGAAGAACCTGTATCTACAAAAGAAACTTCAAGTACTGAAGAAACGACCAATTTAGAAGAAACGACTTTGGTCGAAGASACAACCACTAAGAAAAAAACGAAAAAGACAACCAATGAATCAGCAAAAACCGAAAAACCTAGTATTACTACTGTTAAGTCTAGCAATCCTACAGAAAAAGCGAGCAAAACCACTGAAAAATCGAGCAAGGCGGCTGGAAAACCGAGTAAAACGACGAAAAAAATGACTAARACWACAGAAGCATACGATGAGGTAGTGACGTGCTCGGAAGACCCCTCGTGCGACGAGGAACCTTCGTGCCTCGACGACGAAGTGACGTCTGCGAAACCGAAAAAGACGAWTAAGCCTCCACCGGTTARGAAATCGACGGGAGTTATAAAACCAAAAAATCGGTCAAAAAAGCTACAACTGGATAGCAGGAGACTGCCACCGACCATAGTGCATTATCGATCGTCACCGTCGTCGGCTATAATAACATTGGACGATTCGTTGTGGTCCGACGATGGACTTAACTATGAATCACCGTGATCAGACCTAACTGAGGGGAGTAAATCGCCGCCACCACAGACAGATCGAAAACACGGCTTGACCCAGGTGGTATCGATTCAGCGTCCAATCGGTCGATCAAGATCTTCGACACGTTAACTGTACAATCCTATACAGTGATAGTTTTATTTATTACATAACATATTGTGTATCGTATAATATTATAAGCCTGCAAGAGGTCACTGTTGTACACATCTCGCGAATAACGATCGAAAACTCCGTACCAAATTAATTTTGTCCGATAGTGGTTTTTTCTCTCTGTTACAAATCCTAAATGATCTTCTACTGTATTTTCTTAGTGCCAGAAAATCTGTTATGATCGGTGTTTTTTTTTCAAGTTTTTGAAACGTTATTTTCATAAAAA